TTTCTGGGTACGCCACTGGTACGAGGTGGTCCTTTTCCAGCAGAAGCTGGTTACCTCAATCATATTTTTATAGAATTTCGTCATTGTGCGCAATTTATGAATGAATGACATTCCTTTCAGAGTGGTAGAGTTAGAAAACCTTGTTTCCAATCATTCCAAAGAAGAAGCTTCATCGAATGCTCTTTTGAAAGACAAAGAGCTGCAAGTGAGCTCATTAATGAAGGAGTTGGATGGCTTGAAAGATATTCTCTCTAAAGTAAGCAGATCTCCACCTTATTTCATGTGTAGCACGTTAACGGCTTTGTTCAGAAAGACGAAGTTATTTCACAACTTCACTCTTTATTCTCATTGATATATGAAAGGGGGTTAGGAAAGAAGATTGACTCGGAGCCGCATGATCGAGATTCTCTGGAGAAGGCAATGTCACAAATCATGCAGTCGATCGCCTCGAAAGAAGATGCGTACGAAAAACTTCAAAATGATAATGTACGCGTTTGCTTTTGGTATGCTACATTATTTTGATTTCCCATTTCTTCAGAAGGCTATACATAAGGAAATTCTGCTCTGTCAAAAAGAACTGGAGGCAGAAAAATCAAAAGTCACTGATCTTGAAGAACTTCGCATCAAGGAGAAGACGGGAGCAGATGAGGTTTGTCATGGCACTTGCTAAATTTCAGCATCTGAGGTATGTTGCAGAAGATAGCAACTCTAACACGGAAGCTTTCATCGGAGGAGAAGGAACATGCGGAGAAAATGCAAGCACTGAGGGATGAGTTGACTGCCGAATGTGAAGCTGTAAGAGATCGCATCCGTTCTCTCCTAAATAATGCAGTTTGATGTTTCAGCTAAAAGATAAAATCACTGCTATGGAAGAAGCAGGTGAGAAGCAAGTCGAAGATCGTCTTTTGTTGTTAGAGACTCGCTATCAGCTTGTGAGTGTGCCGGCTCTGTTTTCTTGTACACAGTATTACAGTTTTGTTGTAGGAACTGTCTGATCGCGAAAAGGTTTTTGAAAAGGAGAAAGAAGATTGGAATAGGAAATCACGTGGTCTCGAGGTTGCACTAGCAGCAAAGGATGAGGAAAAGGTCTGGTTTATTTTCTTAGTTATTTCTCGAGTCATGTATTAGTATTTGTGTAGCTTGGATTGCTTATAATAACTAGGCAATGTGCCGTCTGTGAGATCTCTTCATACCAACCACTTCTGCTACTATAGGCCTTGGGCATACCTAACGCGTTTTCAGTCGCAGCGCGATTTAGCAATACCCCAGTTGTTCATCATTCATCGTAAGGAGTTCCTAATGTACGGAAAAAGCCTACGAAGATTTATCAACCTACGAAGGTTATACATGCTGCGCATTTGGGGACTGCCAGTTCAATCTGAAGACATTTGGCAAATTGCCAGATCGCGTGGCAACTGAAATCGCGTGAGGTATG